CAAAAAAAAAAAAAAAAAAATGTAGTCCCAGTTACTTGGAGGCTGAGGCAAGAGGATCGCTTGAACCTAAGAAGCCAGGGCACTCTACCCAGGGCGACAGAATGAGACTCTGTAAAAGTATGGGCTTCCTGGAGATAAGTAACTGCTGCCAGCCTGACAAAGCCACTGCCAGGAACATTGTAGAAATTTCCATCGCCTCCAGGAAGGATATTTCACTATATTCACAGAGTCTTAGGATGTTAAGAGTTGGAAGGGGGTTAGGATATCACCCATTATATTGGTTTTCAAACATTGTCGCCCTCGGTAGAGTGCTGTAGTGTTATAGCTCACAGCAACAAACTCTTGGGCTTAAGCGATTCTCTTGCCTCAGCCTCCCAAATAGCTGGGACTACAGGCGCCGCCACACGCCGGGCTATTTGGTTGCACTTGTCATTGTTTAGCAGGCCTAGGCCGGGTTCTAACCCTCCAGCCTCGCTGTATGTGGCTGGCGCTGTAACCACTAAGCTACGGGCGCCGAGCCTTTAGGCAGCATTTCTAAAGGGATTATTTTGGGTAAAGCGCTAGATTAGTTGCTAGGAGGTCGACAAATATAAACACCTAAGCCCACACACCCAGAAACTCACAAATGAGGCTAATCAAGAACCTAGAGACATGCATGCGCGCGCTTATATTTCCCAAACGTTCTTGAGACAGAAAGATGTCAGGACCTCGACCAGTTCTGGGGAGGAGGACTTGGACATAGGCTGGGGCCCCAGGGAGAGAAGGGGCAGGAGGAGGAAGTAAGGCTGGCGGGTCCCACACCAAAGTCCAACTGGGAAAGGGGAGGCTCACAGAGCGGGTGGCCTAGCAGAGCCGCTCTCCACCGGTATTCATAGCTCCCCGGACTTGCTCGCATTCCTCTCCTAGCCGCAAGGGTCTGAGAGACCCGGGTAGCGACCGGAAGAGGCGGGGCTCGGAGCGGAAGTCCCTTGGCCAGCTTAAGTCACGTGAGAGGCGATGTTTCAAGCCCAGCTCGAGCGCAGGTGAGTGGCAGGTGATCTGCGGTTCCTGGCTCAAATCGTCGAGCGCCAGGAGCACCCAAAGGGCAGGGACGGGCCCTGCTTACGGTGTGGAGTTGGACTCAGGAAGGATACGAGCTGGGGTTCCAATTAAGAGTCTGAACCTGGCGACCGACCAGGCTCACTTTTGGGGGTCCTAGGCTCTGGTGGAAGCCAGAACAAGCCTGTCCTCATGAGTCTCTTAAATTGGGAACGAGTGGAATGGAGTGTTTGGGTGGCTACCCCAGGGGGTCCATAGCTGCCCACAGCCGTCCTCTCTTCCCCAGTTGTCTAAGGCGATTTCTGTGATAGGATATGTCCGAGAAGCATCCCTCCTGTGGCCTCTGCCTGTTTCAGACATATTGGAAGTGGAAAAGGGGAGAAGGAATGGGACTGTCTTTCGGCTCCTTAATTGTGAGGAGAGCAGTAGTGGTGGGTGATGTCCTCTACTCTTGGCTTGACAGGAAGCATGGCACTCTGGCGAGCATACCAGCGGGCCCTGGCTGCTCATCCGTGGAAAGTACAGGTCCTGACTGCTGGTGAGTGTCCCTCTGGGACCATAGGGGTACCAAAGCAGGCTGATTTGGAAGGCAGAGGCTCACACCACCTCACTACCCTCTTTTCTTCAGCCCCCTTGAAGGGTTGACTGTTTGTCATCCCAGGCTGTCCCTAATGTATTTTGGAGCGTGGGTCCCTAAGGCTTTTTTTTTTTTTTTTGAGACAGAACCTTAGTCTGTCGTCCTGGGTAGAGTGCCTGGCGTCACATTTCACAGCAACCTCAAAGTCTTGGGCTTAAGCGATTCTCTTGCCTCAGCCTCCCAAGTAGCTAGGACTACAGGCGCTCGCCACAACACCTGGCTACTTTTCTACTTTTTGGTTGTAGTTGTCATTGTTGTTTGGCAGGCTGGGCTGGATTCAAACCCGCCAGTTCTGGTGTATGTGGCTGTTGCCCTAGCCGATAGAGCTACAGGTGTCAAGTCTTTTGTTTTTGCAATTGTCATTGTTGCTTTAGCTGGCCTAGGCTGGGTTTGAACCTGCCAGCCTTGATGTATGGGACCGGCACCCTACCCACTGAGCCATGGGTGCTGCCCCTGAGGCTGTTTTTAAGGGTATGCATGGTAGGCCCAGCTGTGAAGTAGAACTTAAAAGCTCTCAAAACTCCAGGCAGTCAGTTTAAGGAAAAGGCATTGCTCCAGGAGGCCCCAACGTGGAAAACTAACAATAGCAAATACTCCTCTACCATTTTACATATGCAAAACACTTTCACATTCACCAGATTGTGGGGATCCCACAAAGGGGTGTGAGCTAGGATTATTTGACTCCACATTAGATCACATACCTATTATGTGCTGAATCCAGACTCTTACCTGTTTTTCTTAGTATTTTTTTATTGTGAAATATACAAAAGAATGATTAAGATGTATATACAGTTTAGTAGTCTTAAAACTGACCACTCCTGTACCCACCTTTGAAATCCCTTGAGCCCCTTGCCCTAAGAGATTACCACGTTCCTTCCTGAGTTTTACTTATATCAGTCTTTCTTTTCTCTTTTTTCTTAACTTTTCTTCCCCTTCCCCTTCACTTTCTCTTTTTCCTTTTTTCTTTCCATCCTTTCTTTTCCTTTCTTTAAACATTCTCACTTTGTTGCCCAGGCTAGAATGTCATAGTGTCAGCCTAGCTCACAGCAACCTCAAATTCCTAGGTTCAATCGATCCTCCTGCCTCAGCCTCCTTAGTAGTTGGGTCTACAGGCACCCATCATTATGTCTGCCTAATTTTTATATTTTTAGTAGAGACAAGGTCTTGCTTTTGCTTAGGCTGGTGCAAACTCCTGATCTCAAGTGATCCTCCTTGCCTTGGCCTCCAGAGGTATGAGCCACTGCACCAGGCCTCTTTTTCTTTTCCTATAGTTTCCTACTTATGTATGTATCCCTGAACAATATGCTAACCAAAGTTTTTTACTCCAAATGTAGTAATTGAGTAGCAACCTTACAGAGGTAATGCAGTGACTTACCTGCATTTGTTACCATCTTCATTTTTTGTGTTAGCTAATGTAAAGGGATGGCATGAGGATGAATGAGTAAGTTTTGGGGAAGGATCAGAAGGCCTCTGTCCATTGGGGCAGTACAAAGGGTGATCAGGTTAAAATGGGGTCTTATCCTTATAGAGTGCTGTAATCCTAGCACTCTGAGAGGCCAAAGGAGATAGATTGCTTGAGCTCAGGAGTTTATGACCAGCCTGAGCAAGAGCAAGACCCCATCTTTACTAAAAATAGAAAAATTAGCCAGGTGTTGGAGCAGGTGCATGTAGTCCCAGCTACTTGGAAGGCTGAGGCAAGAGGATCACTTGAGCCTAGGAGTTTGAGGTTTCTTTGTGCTATGACACCATGGCATTCTACATAGGATGACAGAGTGAGACTTATCTCAAGAAAAAAAAAAAAAAGATAGGGGTCTTACCTATGTTTTAGAGAGAAGGAACAGGATTCTAATGAGGACTGTGGGCTTCTGAAAAGAAGACCGTTAGAAGAGATCGAGGGCAAGTGATAACCAGAGTGGAACAGGGATCCTCTTACCATAATAGTCCTACATCAGCACTAGAAACATCACTGTATGAATGGCCAGGAGATAGGCTCTTTTGCCCTGCATTGGACCCCTCTCTAGCTTCCAGTACCCAACCACCTTTTGTCCTGTCCTCAGAGTGTCCGTCAGCCTGCATGACTCAACCTGGCTGCGTGTATGGTGACTCATGCTGGACAGTGTGGCTGTGATGGGAACTGACACGCTGGGCCCTTTGCCCAACCTTAGATTCCCTCAGGGTCTGTAACTGTCAAATGAAAGGCTCCCCTTTGCGGCTGTAAAGAATTAATCTTTGTAGAATAATCCTTGTATTTCCCTATCCAAGGGATCTGCAGCTGACAAGGGCCTCGGTGCAGATACTTGGCTGAACTGGGGTTCTGGTTTGTCATTGCTAGAGTCCTTTTGTTCCATATCTTCAGTCTTCCTGAGGCTGTGCTGACATCCCAGCTCAGCCCTGAAGCAACTGTAGCCCCCTATCACTTCTCTCAGACTTTTCCAAACCTTTCAGACTTTTTCTTCCCTGAAGTTCAGTGTATTTTTTTCTCTTTTCTTTCTTTCTTTTTTTTTTTTTTTGAGATAGAGTCTCACTCTCTTACCCTGGATAGAATGCCATGGCATCATAACTCACAGCAACCTCAGACTCTTGGGCTGAAGCAGTCCTCTTGCCTCAGCCTCCTGAGTAGCTAGGACTATGCAAGCCCACCACCTGGCTGTTTTTAGAGACAAGGTCCCGCTCTTGTTCAGGCTGGTCTTGAGCACCTGAGCTCAGGCAGTCCACCCACCTTGGCCTCCTTGAGTGCTAGGATTATAGGCATGAGCCACTGCTTTCAACCTGGTTCAGTGTGTTTGGAACAAACTACAAATAAAGAGGGAAAGTGGATTTAGCTCACTGAGCTATATTTAGACCCCATCACAGTAGTTCTTATGGACCCATGGCATCACTTATCACACTGAAAAACAGAACAGAGATTTCAGACTTGGAGTTAGAAGACTAAGGTTGAATCTCAGAGCCATAGCACTTAGTAGCTACATTAATCAGGACAAGTCAGTAAACCTCTTTGGACCTCAGTTTCCTCATTTAGAACTTGAATTTAGTTATATGACTTCACAGGGTCCATATAGGAATTATCTCTGTGAAAAATCTTTGAAAATCAGAAATGTTCAATAAACTTAAGTGCTCAAGGGATTGGCTCTTTCTATGACTGTTGGGAACACAGGCATAACAAGCTATTCTTTTTTATAGTGGTGTTTGGATTGAGTTTATTCCACTTGCCCTAAATCTGAATGTGGATAATTGTTATAGCTTCGTTCTCCAAAAAGTAGAGCCTGAAGCTTATGTGAAGATACTTTGTTAGGGTGTAGGACATAATCCCATGGAGGGAAGAGGGAAAGCCAGTATAAGGATGCATTGTCAAATTGGCTACTGCGACGGGCAACTGGTTGTTCAGTCCCTTGGAAATGACTAAGAAACTCTTTGAAATGCTTCCTAGGACTATCTGGATGAATAGTCATTTCTGGAGAAAAGAAGAAATCTTTATCCACCAGCTCCCATCCCACATTGGCCAAAGGTTCACCCCATGGGGTGTTAACTCCTGTCCACTACCAGGCATAACGTGCATAGTCACTGAAGGCATCAGTTGCAAAGCCCCAGGTATGGCATAGGTCTGAAGTAAGGATCTATCAGGTTGAACTACAGTAAGTGCCTAATAAGCCAATTTTAGCCAAGACAGAGTCAGGAGCTGGGCAGTCTGGGAAAAGATTTGCTTCATATTCTGCAAAGAGTATGAGTGAGCTGTATTCCTTTCTTGGGGGCTCTGGCAGTTTCTCAGTGGGCCCCAGGCCCGGCTCCATCCATCTTAGGCCACCCTGGGCCTGCCATGGGAGTTGCTGAGGTCTTGCAGACAGTGCTTTCTCTGGAGTCTGAATTAAGCTGGGATGTTAGGGCTCAACAGGCCTTACCAGCATCCAGTCCAGCCCCTGATGCTACAAAGAAGGAAACTGAGGCAAGAAGGAGGGTGACATGCACTGGATCTCACATGGTTACTAGTCAAGCTGGCATTAGAACCTAGGGCACTGCCTTATGCTTGAGCATATTGGGGCCTCTGAATGCTGAGTGCAGCCCCAGCTGGTCTGGGTTTAGATACCTGACTAGCTGCAAACCCTTCATTTTGTCTCATTGGCTAGCAGTAGGGTGGGTTCAGGGAGAGCATTCAAACCAATCCCAGAGAATGCACTCTCCCCTCCTACTGCTGGGCTTCAGCTCCTGCTAGGCTTTGTGCCAGACCAAGTCCCTACCCCAGGCAGCTAGTTAATGGTTGGAGAATGCTGGGGAGGAATGGCAGCACTATTGGCCTTATGCCAGCAGCTATACCTGCCAACCTAGGCCTCTAAACTCAAGGACATTCTTTCTGCTCCTCCTTCCAAGAAACTGCTTCCTACCCCTCTACTATTAATGCTTTAATTTCTTGCACATAAGACCCTCCATAAAAGCCAAGAGAGGAGCAAATAGAGGAAGTAGGGAATTTATCCCCACCTGTGCTTGGCAAGATGGTGTGAGAGTTGGGGCTTTTCCACCAGTGGGCAGTAGGTGGTCCCAAATTGATCTGTGCTCAGAGGCAGGCTCCCCTCCCACTGGCCCCTGGATCTGGTGGGGAGTGACGGCATAAGAACTGGCACCTACCCAAGGGCATGATGTCACACCTGCGCCAGTGTCTGCCTGCTGGGCTCTGCGCCCAGCCTGTCATTGGGCCTTGCTGCCCAGCAGCCCCTCACCCTGCCCCATCACAGCTCTGGGCATGATATGTCTGGACACCTCCAACCCCAACTCCCTGGAAATAAGTCCAAGGAGATGGGAACTATAGCACTGGAAGATTCAGACCAACCATGTATGTCCAGGAGATCTCCTAGAGGTGGTTTGGGTCTGTATGGGCTCTGGGTTGGGGTACGTGGATGAGGAATCTGAGTGTCTGAGCCCTTTCTGCTTAAAGGACCACTTGGACCAGAGAAGCAGGCCTTGCTTTGTGCTTGGACCAAAGATTTAGTTGCTATAGGCCCAGGTACTTGATCATCCATGGGTAGAGAAAGACCCTGTGGGCACTGCTCTGTCTGAAATGAACAAAACTGCCAAGGGCTACAGAGCAGCACGCTGCTTAGCTCTCTGCTACACTGTCTCTTGGTAATCCCTTAGGGTTGGTGTCTGGGCTCTTTTCCTCAAAGGCTGCAGGCTTCTGGGACCATGGGGCTAGAAGTCAGGGGCTTGAGTTTTTATTTCAGCTCAGCTTTTAGCTTATTGTGTGACTATTGTAAAAACCTACCCCTCTCTTTGATTGTTTCTTTCTCAGAAATATTGCTGCCTATCCTTCCCCTGAGGTGACCAGGAAGAGAGGTAATGAAATTGTGGGAAGTAAAGATGGAGAGGAAATGCATTAGTCCAGGGGGTGTCTTTGATATGTAGGTGCTTAGGGGCCATGCTTAGGCAGAAACACCCTACAGAGTGGCAGCCGAAGGAGCCTCTTGGTGCCCATTGTCTTCTGTTCCATCTTGAGAGAAGGCCTAGGTTTGGTCCCAACTCCACTCCTTACTAAGTCACCTCATCTCTCAAAGACTCTTCCTTTATCACTAAATGGAGGTGTGACTCCCTACCTCCCAGACTTTGTGAGGATTAAGTGTGTGAGAGCTCTTTGCACACTTTAAACTTCTTACCAAAGTAGACTATCACGCTGTTAGGCCCTTCATTAAAGCGCCTGCCTTTTCTTACTTTTTTTATTTTTTTTTTGAGATAGACTCTCACTTTGTCACCCTGGGTAGAGTACCATGGTGTCATAGCTCACAGTAACTTCAAACTCTTGGGCTCAGGCGATCTTGCCTCAGCTTCCCGAGTAGCTATGCCACCACAATGCTGGGCTACTTTCTTAGAGACAGGGTCTTGCTTTTGCTCCACCATCCCCTGGCTTTCTTGGATCACTCTTCCCTTTATGCGTAGCTGTAGCGGCTCCCCTCCCTCCCTGCCAGTGTAGCTGGTGACCCCACAGTGTGAGAGAGGATGGAGGGAATTCAGTGCTAACTGCCTGAGGCCAGGGAGGAAACCTTTAGTTCCCTGAGGTCTTTTTTTTTTTTTTTTTTTTGAGACAGAGCCTCAAGCTGTCCCCCTGGGTAGAGTACCG